ATATTACTAATCAAACATGAATTTTTGATATATTTACGGTAGGAGATTTACAAAATATCTTCATGGAACATGATCTTTACTTAATATCCTAATGATTTTTGGCATAAAAGAAAAATCAATAATTTTGACCCATACAATGTATTGGTGGCTATCACTGCAAATATACCCCAGCGACTTAAAGGGGTCATATGATGCGATTCTTTTTTCCTTTTCTTTAGTGTGTTATGTAGCTATTTGTGCATGTATAAGATCTGCAGTGTTACAAAGCTCAAAGTCTCCCACAAAAGGATTTATTCTAAATAAAAGAGAAGGCTGATCCAGACCGGGATAAAACGGCTCGTTCTAACACGCCCCACATGTCTACGTCACTATGTGGAAATATTAGCATAATGCCGCCCAAATGTTCACGCAAAGAAAGAAGGCGTGGTTTCAGTAACCGCAGTTAGTGTTGAAGCAGCATGTCAGAGAGACGCTGTGTGTTTCTAGGCGAAAGCAAAAGCACTTTATTTGGCCTTCCGAAAGTAGATGCAATTAGGAATCATTGGTTAAGATTGATTTACAACAGAACAGCACAACCCAGATGTTCAAATTTGTGCAACGCATTTTATGGACGACAGTTTTGTGAACCTAGGAGATATTTCTAAAAAAAAAAAGGCTCAATTCCGACTTTGCTATGACAATCTGGCGCTTATTCTGAATCAGCTACTGTAAGTATGTTTTCTTAATAGCTTAAGTATTTGCTATTGACTGTTCAAATGCGGAGTTTTACGCCGTGTAGAGTATCGCGTCATGTGTGTGTGTGAGAGAGAGAGAGAGAGGGTCACATCACAGTAGAGTCAGCTGTCTTAACCGTGGCTTGTGTACTGCAAACACATACCAGCTTCATCACTGTGTCTGTCACGCGACTCTGTTCCCCTTTCGGGCTTGAACTGATGGTAAAACTAATGACATTATTTACTGTCTTTACATTTATTTTGAAAGCTGAAGCTGCGATTATGGTAAGGGGCGTTACATTTCCGATGAGTGCTTGCGGTGTTCGGCACCGGGTGCACTGGGTCAGCTGGCCAATCAGAGCAGACTGCGCTTGTCAGAAGGAGGGACTTTGTAGAAAACGAAGCGTTTGAGAGAGGCGGGGCATAGAGGACCTACAATAATGTACAGTATTTGAAAAATAATGTGTTTTTTTGAACATTAAAGCATCAACATATTCTGTTACACCAAATACACAAAATGATTATCTTTAAAATATCTATACAATTTTCCAGCAGGACTTTATTACTGTGCTTGATTGGCCAGCCAACATGCCTGACCTGAAGCCCATATGGAATCTATGGGATATTTTCAAGAGAAAGATGAGAAATAGTCGATCCAACGATCCAGACGAGCTGAAGCTCAATAGTGCCTCAGCAGTGCCACAAGCTGATCACTTCATGCCACACCTCACTGATGCTGGAGTTTGTGCTGAACGAGCCCCGACCAAGTATTGAGTGCAGAAATCAACATACTTTAAAGAACTTGAACTTTTCTGTTTGCAAATCCTTTTTTTTGATTGATCTTAGGAAATATTCTAATATTTTTGAATTTCATGAGCTGTAAGCTCTAATCATCAAAATAAAAAAATAAAAAACCTTTTGAAATGTTTTACTTTACATGTAATGAATCTAGAATATATGAAAGTTACACTTTTTGAAATAAGTTACAAAAACAAAACGTTTTCATGATTGTTATGTCCTCCGGACATAAGTGTTTTTATTGTTTATTCTGATTGGTCAATGTGCAGAGATGTTCTATGCATTGTGCCGTTTCCCGTCTCTCTCTCTCTTTCTCCCTTTCACTCTGCTGGCAGTGTTGATTGGACGCAGCTGCAGCTGATTACGTGGATGAGTGAGAGTGGTTAAAAGCTGAGAAAGGAGAGGAGCGAGCCCAAGCATTGTACGGGAGCAGAGCAGGGAGAGAGTGGCGTGCTGAGCGCTGCGGTGTTGGTTGTTGCCGTTACTGCCCACCGTCTCCTGCCCCAGACATTCAATGCACCTGTGGTCTTGTGATAGGTGATGGGTTGCTGCCATTCTGAGTGAGAGTCTTTTTTTTCCGGTGTTATTAATTTGTGTTTGTTTCGGAAGCCGTAGGGAGGAGGTTGCCATTTACTTTATGATCCCTTGTTATCTCCTGTTTATTGACAGCTAGGGAGTAAGGGGAGAGTATTGTATTTTTGTTTGGGTTTTTGATTTGTTAGGTAAGTTACTGTCTAATTGTTTTAGTTAGTTCTTCTTTTGTTTGTCATTTTGGTCTTGACCCCTCCTGAAGATTCACGCTTGTTATATGATACTTTGTGAATTAAAAGCTTATCATTTGATTTACTCTCACTCCGTTGTGTTTCTGTGTGAGCCTGGGACAGGAGAGGGGGCGGGTATTGTTCAATTAGCTTTATTCTAAATTACTTGTTCGTTATCCCCAACCCTAGACTGGGAGTACGTAACAATTGGGGGCTCGTCCGATCGTGACACCTGGATTGTGACAATTGAAGGCTCGTCGTAATGCGTTAAAGGCTCCTTACAAAAGGTTTGTAACGAATTGTCTGCATGTGATGCGTGGCAAATTGAGGGCTTGTCTGTTTGTCCAGTTGTTCGTTTATGAAAATTGTGGGTTTGTTTATCTGTAAAAAAAAAAATTGGAGGACTCGTCTGCTTGTTCAATTCGTCCGTACGTGATAATTGGAATTGGTCTGCCCATGGTAAGTGTGGGTTCGTTTGTTTGTGACAATTGGTCCATTCGTTTGTTTAAATCGTTATATTCATCTTCAAAACCTTTGCTTGGCTGTTTTGAACCTTTGATGGGGGAGGAAGGTTTTAGGATGGATTTTGATTTAGTTAAGTTCACTCTTTCGCCTACGCAGAGAGAATTTGAACGGTGTAGGAAAATAGACCTGATACAGACAGCGGATTTCTTTAAATATAACTGTTTCTAAAGGGGGGAGAAAGCAGGTTATTAAAGATGAGTTGTACGCTAGGCTAGTAGAGACTGGTATTTTGACTGGACATACCGTAACTAGAAGCAGAGTCTGATGGAGAGGAGTTAACCGGCGAAGTTTATTCGGTAAGCGGTAAAAAAGCTTCTCAGTTAGATCCAATGGTAGCTGTTCGTTTGAAAGAGCTAGATCTTGAGCTTAAGAAACCGGAATATGAAACGCAACTGCTTTGTCTGAAAGAGCTGGAGATAACCGCTGATCGAGATGTTAAGCTGCGTAGATTGGACCTAGAAGCTCAAAAGTGTAAAAGTCCAGTTCCTTTACCACGCACCAGGCCGACTTCTGGTAGTTCGGAGATGGGTCAACCCAACTTCGACATTGGTAAGTGTCAAACTCGTACCTCAATTCCGCGAGACTGAGGTCGATTCTTTCTTCGTGGCCGTCGAATGAGTTGCGGCTAAATTGAAATGGCCTAGGGAGTGTGGGCACTGTTATTGCAGTGTAATCTCGTTGGCAAGCCCAAGAGGTTGTGGCGGCTTTGCCAATTGAAGATTCACTGAATTATGATGTCTTGAAATTGGCTGTATTGCTTATGAATTGGTACCAGAGGCATACCGACAAAAGTTTAGGGCATGTTCAAAAGCAGCCAAGCAGACGTTTGTCGAGTTCGCACGTGAGAAAAGAGTGCTATTCGAGAAATGTTTCCACAAAAATTGTGACTCTTGAGGAATTGCAAGAGCTAATTTTACTTGCCGATTTTAAGAGCTGTCTGCCCGAAAGTATCGTGGTACATTTAAATGAGCAGAGAGTATCGAAACTGTCTGATGCAGCGACGCATGCAGACGAATTTGTGCTTACTCGTAAGACCGTATTTCCAGTTATGCGCGGCCCTAAAATATCCTTCGTTACGGATGTAGGGAAAGATAAAAGGATGTTAGGCGAGAATTGTTAGGGCTGATAGTGAGGCAAAAATGCCAAGACGTCCTGATAAGAAGAGTTTGTTTTTATTGCCTTGATCCTGGTCATCTTATCTCGAACTGTAAAGTCTGGCAGCAAAAAGCTGGCAGCAAGCCCAAAGGGGTGGCGTTTATTCCGATTTCTGGTCAGTCACCACAGCCTAATTTGAATGTGTTTGGGCCGTTTCTGCAAACTTGCTTAGTTTCACTTTCGGATGATTCTGAGGCGAAGCCGATAGTCATGCTGCGAGCCACAGGGTCTGCACAGTCACTGATTTTAGAGAATGTGCTGCCGTTTTCGAGTGGGTCATATATGGGCAATGATGTGCTCATTCGAGGGATTGAAATGGGCTGTACTTCTGTACCGTTACATGCAGTCTTTCTAAAATCTGACCTTATTTCTGGCCCCGTTAGCATTGGTGTATATTCACAGTTACATGTAGAGGGTGTGAGCATGATCCTGGGTAACGATTTGGCTGGGGCTAAAGTCTTCCCATACCCGATCGTGTCAGCAAAACCTAATATTAGTAATCCGGTAGCTGCCTTATTACAATTCTAATTTTGAGATGCATCTTTACATGCGCGCGCACACATATATGTGTGTATGTATAGTAAATATTGACGTAAAAAAACAAAAATCGGGTATTTAACACTCACACAAGCGCTGTATCCACTAACAGATTGCTTCTGACAGCTAAAGCACTGTATGTGCAAATACAGCACACAAACACGAGTATAATATTATAGGGCTAAAGACTGGAAATATGACCATTTAAAGACACAAGAGCAAGTCATTTACATATGATAGAGGTCATTTTAATCTGACACTGTGGAGATGAATGAGAAAACAGTCAAACTAACCAATGACAGTTCATTCTCTTTTTAAACAAAGAAAGACATCAAGAAACAATGAATTAAGATTCTATAAGAATCATAAGAAATCTGCATGTTAACATACAGATATGGCTGAAATGTCATAAACCTCAGAAAGCTGCTGCAGTCTCTGACAGATGTTGGAAGAGAGAGAGGCAAAGCTGCAGAAAGCTAAAGTCGTGTCCGCCTGACATCTGTTGATCATTTCAAGCACAGAGCTCCAGCAGCATCCCATCATGCAGCTCTTCTCTGTGCTTTCTGCTGCTCATCTGTAGGTCAGATCTGTGACCGGTGTCCTCCTCTGTGGAGTAAACGCCCGAGTCTCCGCTGCCGTGTCGGCCGTGTGTGCTGGAGTCCTGTTCCTCAGTGTTTGAGTGCTCATCCACCGCCACAGCGTCCAGCTCAGCACTGACCATGACCAGCAGCTCACACACAGACTCTGGAGACTCCGGAGCCAGCAGCTGCGGCTTCTCGGAGTCACTTAACCACAGCTGGAGAGACAGGGAGAGAGAGAGAAGTCAGTCCTGTTTGTAGCTTCGTATTCAAGAGCACCAAACCAAGACCCTGGCTCTGTTTACACCTGCTTTTCACCCAGTTATGATTTACTCACTCCCTCCTTGGTTCTACCTATTGGCTGTTGATTGGATTTTATGATGGAGGTTGCAGTGTATTGTAAGAAATGGGCAGAGCATTTAGTCCTATATATATATATATATATATATGCATGCAGAAGAAATTTCAACACTTCAGCAATAAACAAAGACACACAAATGTTTGTCTAGAGTAATTTGTGCTTATTAGTACGGTTCATTGAAGGTCCGAAGCAAAGACATTGGTTTATAGAATGGGATTAAATACATAAAGCATATTTGTTTAACATTTAATTATTGCAGGTTTGTGTCATATTCTGAGTTGCATTATTTTTATTCATTTTGAGGAATACTGAATTTTTTTTGTGTGTGAGTGAGATGAATTAATGCATGCATGCAGAAGAAATTTCAACACACTTCAGCAATAAACAAAGACACACAAATGTTTGTCTAGAGTAATTTGTGCTTATTAGTACGGTTCATTGAAGGTCCGAAGCAAAGACATTGGTTTATAGAATGGGATTAAATACATAAAGCATATTTGTTTAACATTTAATTATTGCAGGTTTGTGTCATATTCTGAGTTGCATTATTTTTATTCATTTTGAGGAATACTGAATTTTTTTTGTGTGTGAGTGAGATGAATTAATGCATATTCATATTTATTTTAGAACTACAGTAACATCTTCTGATTTCTCTCAACATGGCGACACCAGAGCTGTCAATCAATAAATTGGGAAAAAAGTAACTTGCGTTACGTATTTGAAAGTAACTCAAGATATTATCTTGTAAATTAAAACGTAATGCGTTACTTTACTAGTTTCTTGAAAAGAGAAATCTGATTTCGCACTACTACGTTACTTGTAATACATTACCCCCAACACTGAACCTATCAGACTGTGCCATCTAGAGTTTCATGCCATAACTTTGTATATATGAACACACGGGTAACTTGTTCACAATGAGATCAATAACATATTTAAACGATAGGGTGACCCCTTAAGGAACAGGAGAAAACAGTATGGTAGATCATTTTAAAAAGGGATATCTGTTATAACACTTGAAATTCTTTTTGACATTGACGTTTGTATGGGGGTTTCTCCATTAATAATTGTGTGGAATCGATATGAAAGGTTAATGTGGCCTGAAATTCAGCATATGTAGATTTCCACATCAAAGACTGTCTATTACCACCTCCTCTTTATCTACAGTTAACAATTTGATAAATGCTAGGTCCATCTCAAATAAGACCTTTGTACCAAAAAATTCTATCTCCTCTTGGGAGCTAGACTTTTTGTTCATGACAGAGACTTGGCTCAATGCTGGCGATCTGGACTATTTATCTTTAACCAGCATCGGGTAGAGGTGGAGGGGTTGGCGCTATATGAAGCCTACACAGCGCTCAACTCCGTACAGAATCAGCCTTTCTCCAAGTGTCTAATGACCTGTTCCTGGCCACCGATTCAGGAAAGTGTGTAATTTTGGTTTTAATTGATCTGACAGCAGCATTTGACACTACAGCACACAATATTTATTTGGTATGTTTAAAGCCCTATTCGGACGGGACTAGTTTTCTAAACCATGTATGAGTTTTGATTCTTGTCACCCGACATCTGTGATTTTCATATACCAATTTGGACAATGTATGCATGCATTGCGTATAGTCATTTGGATTGATTACCATAGTATGACCACAGTTTTATACAAATACCATGGTGAAGCTATATGGCTAGTATAGCAAAACCATTCTTAATGTGTGGTTACTTTAGTTTAACTATTTAATTTTTTTTAAATGTATTTGTAGTAAAACCATGTTTAATTTACATAATGTTTTAATTAACATTACGTATGTACCTTTTATGTAAGTGAGTGCAGAAATGAAGGTTAGTAATCTTACCTGACGCTGATATTACTTAAAAGTTTACATGATCTGGCTCTTGATTTAATTATTATTTTATAATTTCTTTGCCGGGAGGCAAACATATCAAAAATCCGTGCAGTAGTAAGAGAAATGCGTTGTGAAAAAATATTTTCACAATCACAGACATTCACATTCGGACGGGATTAGTTTTCTCAAGAGGATCACGGAGTTTGCTGAAAAACCGTAGGTAATTTGCTCTGGAATTATTACAGAGGTTGTGTGGGGGGAAAAACAGATTTGGCAGATTCAGATGGGATTAAAATCGCAAAGTATCTGTGAAACACAAATTTCTCTAACGACACCCTGTAAAACTAGTCCTGTCTGAATAGGACTTAAGAGCATTTCCTTGGATTCCTGCACACAGTCTTATTTACATATATTCCTGGGAGAACTTTTTCTATAAGATTAGGAAATGTTCATCTTCTTTGTTATAACGAAATGTGGGGTCCCTCAAGGATCTATTTTGGGTCCAGTCTCATTTAACATCTATATACTTCCTCTGGCTGATATTTGTCAGAAGCAATGTATATTACCATCTCTATGCTGATGACACTCAGCTTTTCCTCCCTTTAAAGGTGGGGGACTCTTTAGTTGTTTTGATCAGTGGTGGGCTGTCAGGGTCAGCAGGGCCTTCTCTGCTGGCCCTATAAAAATAAAATTGTGTGAAAAATGCTTTTATTGATTATTTATGTGTCATTTTCATGTGTGTAATGTCCACAAAATTGCCTATGATTAGTTTTGTTGAGGTTGAACTGGAATATCCTACATAAAAAAAAAAGTCTGCGGCCAGCACTTACAGAGAGTACTACCCTTTTGTTGAAAGATGTCTAGCGACGTGCCCAGTGCTACCCCCAGCGATAGTCGGGAATTTCTAAGGTATGAAAGTGAAATTCAACGAAAAGAAACAGACAGCCGCAGTCACCGGCGCCTCTAAACCAGATCTAGTTGCCGATCTACTAAAAATGCCTTTTTCAAGGCGCTCTTTTGCAGACAAAAGATAAATAACTGAGAAAGGAAGACCTACACACAAACTGAATTCGCTAACAAAGGTTTTGTGCGCCATTTCAAAGATTGCAACTATGAGTGGCTAACAGCTAGCACCGAGCACAAGTTATTTTGTTGGCCGTGTTTACTTTTTAATACGAGTAAAGGGACATGGAATGACAGACGCATGGACTTTATTCACAAGTGACAGGTGAGTGCTTTATTATTTGACGAGTATTGTATCATGCACATTGTTATGGAGGTGTACGAGGTGCATTGATAGTGCTGCTGTGGGTGCGTCGTCATTTTAGAGTGACGTGAATGTGCATAGTGACCCGTGTATTGGTGGATTACCTTTACTGATCCATGTAGGGAAATTTATTCTGCATTCAACCCACCCTAATCTAGCCTACTGTTGAAATTGTTGATCAGCTGTCATTGTTGTTGAGAGCCTGTGTGTGGCTTAATATGCACATTATATGCATATGGCTGCATTAGCTGTAACAGAGATGTGTAAGATGCGTGTATGTAGGTTACAGTTGCTTACTGAAGGCCCTGACTGAAACACCACGGTACACCACTGGTTTTAATGATATTATGGAGTGGATGGCAGCCAGTTTTCTTCACCTGAATAATGAGTCAATGATCTGAATCAGATGTGTTACATCAGGGAGACACACAATGTGCAGAGAGAGGCATCCAGGATTAAGAACCACTGGGCCTCTTTAAATCCAAGGTACACAATCAAGCAAAGAGTCTTGGTGTTATTTTTGATGCTGAGTTTGATTAGCATATAAACCATGTGGTTAGAAGTAGCTTCCTTCAATTCAGAAACGTCTTTTAATAATTTGGAAGTTATGCATGTTTTTATTACATCCAGACTGGACTATTGTTACTCATTGTAATACAGTGTTTCTCATGCCTCACTTTCACGCCTGCAGTTGGTTCAAAATGCTGATACTAGTCTTTTGACTGAGATGAAGAAATATGCAAATATATCACCTGCATTAACATCACTCCACTGGCTTCCAGTCAAATTCAGAAACAAATATAAGAAGTTATTTATTTTTTAAGGGTTTAAATGGGTTGGCACCCAAGTTCTTCAGTTACACATGTCCTCTAGGCCAGTGTTTCCCAACCAGGGGTCCGTGGACTCCTAGTGGTCCTTGACGCAAGGCCAGCGGGTCCATATAAAGTATTAATTTTTGTATAAATGTTGTATATTTTGACATGACTCCTGTTCCCATGAAAGAAAAATCCAATATAGCTGATGATATGGCCAAATACTGGACAAGTCAACTAACTTGAATTATACTTGACTGCATTTGGTCCTCACAAAGATACAAATGATACATAGATGAGTCAATTTTGTTCTGGGGGTCCTTGAGGATGGTTCTGAATTGGACTGGGGTCCAGTACGCCAAAAGGTTGAGATTCACTGCTCTAGGCCATTAAGATCTGTACAAAGGTTTCAGTTAAATCTTGGTTAAAATCAAAAGGCCTCCTCTGCTGCAGCTTCATGCTTATGGAACAGCTTAACTCTTCACATTAGATCTTGTGCCTCTCTTGATGCATTTAAATCTCATTTAAAGACTCACATTTTTCACTTGCATTTAACTCCACTTAATTTTGTATTTATTTTATACTTGATTTTATAATCCTAGATTGTAGGGATGCACAATATTGGATTTTTGCCGATATTTTTCAACTCATTTTGGTCGATAGCCGATACTGTGATATATTTCTTTTTGTTTGGAAACAACACCAAGTCTGTCCTGTGCAGAAATTTAAAATATAATTATTTTTAATTTATTAGAATTAAATAATAGTTAAGTTATTTTATAATGGCAGTACATTGAAAGCTTTGAAAATAATTATAAATCAGCTATATATATCAATCGCTGCTAAAAAAAATTTCAGAAAGATGCAGTGGTAACCTTAAAATATTATTTTTAGATTTAACATTTGTAGATGGTCTAAGGCAAGAGTTGTAAAAATTGTGAAAATCTTTTAGAGCTCATGATTCATTTAAAAAAAAAAAAAAAAACACATTACACATTAATGAATAAATCCGTATATATAAAATGATTTAATTTACAAGTGTCATATTTATGATTTTTTTGTAATCATGTAAGCTATAGCTTCTGACCTTTGCATTAAAACATATTCATGATTTTATGACATTGATACCGTTTTATTTATTCAGAAACAAGATTCTTAGTGATATTTGTGTATTTTACTTACATTTTGTTACAAGTAGGCCAACAGCCCCCCCTATGTAAATACAACGCTTTACTGGACGGGTGTATTAGGACCCGGAGGAGGCTGCCGCTGCTGCTAGTGACTGTTGACGCTATCACACACCGAACGCATCATCTTGTAAATGTATTCTCAAATTAAATGCAGTGATCCAAATCTATCTGAATCTAATCAAGGCAAAAGTTTGCTTCATGAATGACCACACTGCTGATGTGATCTAATCGCTAGGACACCCCGAGCACATGTGAGTTAATCCTCTTATCGGCAAGACACAAGACGCATAATTTTTAATATCGGGCCAATTCCGATATTTACATTTTACGCTATTATCGGCCGATTCCTATATCGGTCAGATAATATCGTGCATCCCTGCTAAATTATATGAATGTGTTAGTTCCTGGTATGTAAAGCCAATGTGTGCTATATAAATAAATGTGTTTGATAAAAATGCACTTAACTGCATTTTATAGTGAGTGTAATCTTCACATGTTCACAGACTATTGGAGCCCAGAGTGTGTCACAATAGTTTTAACTATAAATATTTTGAGAGGAACGAATCTGGTTTGAGATCGGAAACCACCATCTTTCTACAGGATGTGGTCACGCTACTTGGCAGCATTTCTGAGACTGAAGCTGAAGATGACTGAAGTGCTTTGTGTTCACAGCTTGTCCTCAGCAGACACCACATTCAGACAGTATCCACACGCAGCCGCTGCTGAAACCCATACGAGAGCTTTTGGCGCGAGTGTGCACAGATACCTGAGGCTCTGCAGAGCGCCTCCAGTACTGGATGAGGTAGCTCAACCTGTCGTTCAGCAAAGTTTTCATGGACTGGTTAGTGCTGCTCAGAGGGTCGGTGATGATGATCTCTAGATCTCCTTTAATCGAGCTCAGCTTTAAGCTGGAGGGAGGACCTAAAGCAGCTGAGAGCAGAAGAAAATAGCCGGGGTCAGCATAGCAGAATCAAATGCCAGGAACAGACATACAGACAGACTACTGACAGACAGACAGACAAAAAACTAACAGATCGACTGACAGAATACTGACAGACAGACTGACTGACTGACAGACAGAGACTGACAGACAGACTACTGACAGAGAGACTGACAGACAGAGAGACTACTGATAGAGAGACTGACTGACAGCCAGACTACTGACAGACAGACAACTGACAAAGAGCCTACTGACAGACAGACAGACAGACAGAAAACTAACCCTAACAGAGAGACTACTGACAAACAGACAGAACACTAACAGACAGACAGACTACTGACAGACAGACAGACTACTAACAGAGAGACTGACAGACAGACTACTGACAGAGAGACTGACAGGTAGACTACTGACAGACAGACAGAAAACTAAGAGACAAGACAGACTGACAGACAGACTACTGACAGACTGATAGACAGACTACTGACAGACAGACAGACAGACTACTAACAGAGAGACTGACAGACTACTGACAAACAGACAGAAAACTAGCAGACAGACTACTGACAGAGAGACTGACAGACTACTGACAAACAGACAGAAATCTAGCAGACAGACTACTGACAGAGAGACTGACAGACTACTGACAAACAGACAGAAAACTAACAGACAGACAGACAGACAACTAACAGACAGACAGATGGACTGACAGACAGACATACTGACAGACAGACAGACTGACACAGACAGATAGACTGGCAGACAGACTACTGACAGAGAGACAGACAGACAGACAGATGGACAGACAGACTACTGGCAGACAGAGAGACTGACAGACAAACAGACTGACAGACAGACAGAGACAGACCACTGACAGACAGACTACTGACAGGGCTACAGACAGACAGAAAAACTACTGGCAGACAGAGAGACTGACAGACAGACTACTGACAGGGCTACAGACAGACAGAAAAACTACTGGCAGACAGAGAGACTGACAGACAGACTACTGACAGGGCTACAGACAGACAGAAAAACTACTGGCAGACAGAGAGACTGACAGACAGACTACTGACAGGGCTACAGACAGACAGAAAAACTACTGGCAGACAGAGAGACTGACAGACAGACTACTGACAGGGCTACAGACAGACAGAAAAACTACTGGCAGACAGAGAGACTGACAGACAGACTACTGACAGGGCTACAGACAGACAGAAAAACTACTGGCAGACAGAGAGACTGACAGACAGACTACTGACCAGGCCTGTCGCGATAATTAAATAACCGTCTAATCGCGATTATTTGATCTAACCACGGTTGTTTCAGACAATTTATTGTGCTTTTTATGCGACACATGGGGGAGTCATACACCAAAAGAAACAGAAAAGTACCAGTTTGCTTTTCATGCACTGTATAGCCTATACAGTGCTCCAGACTCATTCTTCCCACTGGTCGCTCTTTTGCAACTAACTTTCTCAGCTGGTCGCACGAGTACATGATTTGGTCGCAATATTTGTTTGTTTTTTTTGCGCTACAACATGGGATTATTCAATGCATGCTGATGAACTTTTATCATTGTTGATAGTTATATGGAAACGAAAGTGGTTAACATTCAACCCATTCTTTATCATCAGTAGTATTATTTGTGATTTGAATTTTGTGAACGGGAGTTTCTCTTTTGCTGTGTTAAGCCGCTGGCTTCGGATGCTTTCACTTTCGAATTCGCGATCTTGTTGTCACCGTTTTGCTTACATCTACACACCTTTCATTTTTTAAGACTAAAACAAAAGATGGATTCATTGTTATTTTTAATTAAAAAGCACAACAACAATAAATCAGTAAGACACAATGATACACTGGCTTACAAAACGTTTATTAACAAAAACGAATAAGATGAGGCATGGCACACACCACATGCTGTATTATATACCGACTAATAATTTACAGAACGTTTAGCAAACACTGTGGAATCAAATAAATAAAAGAGAGGCTCCATAGCGTAATGTGAGGTAAACAGCAAAGAGACGTTTTTCAAAAATTAAAACAATAATAAAAGTAAAACGGTCACAGTGCTTGCATGTCCCCCCCCCCCCACAAGAATACCAGCATGTTCACCTTCTCTGGTTTAAGAAGCTGTCTTTTACTTCAATTTTGCTTGAAAACCAGCCATCGTTTCCTTAATATGCGCATCATTTTTGCTGCGCGCAGCTTCGCGCTCGTGCCGACGCGGCGAGTATACTCTCTAAGCGCTGTTTCATTATGCTTTCAGTTTCGTTTGCCGTTTCTCATATGCAACAGAAATTGCAGCATTATGAGTTGACCAACGCGGTGGTCGCGCCAGTGCGACCACACACAAAATTTAGTCGCACAGGCAGAAAAAATGGTCACAAAATGCGACCATCATCATCTGAAGCCATTCCATCTCTTAATGTGAGGGACAGAATTGAGGTTTACAGAAGCTCATCTTCCTTCTGCTGCAGCTGTCAGGCATTCTCCGCTCAGCATTCAAACAGCACGTCACGTTCAGTTATCACAGTCAGCATAAAACTCTCTCTCCAAGATCATATATTCTCGTTATAATACTTTAAGTTTAAGGAAGGAATTATCACAAACAGAAAGATTATTAGAAGCCTTTCTTTTTCTCATGATTTCTATCTTATTTTCGTGAATGTATTTTGTAAGAATACAAATAGTTAACAGAATAAACATGTTTAAATTGTATAATGTACACCAAAAAACAAATATTGTTTTTGCTGCTAAATTATACAGTCAGCTAGTTTAATTTCATAGCTTATATATTTTTATTCAAATGTAGTTTTTCTCTGTAATGAGGAAGTGAGTATTTAGTGGATTGCGTTTAACAAAGGGTTTAAAAAAAGAGTGACCATTAGTTCCACAAACACCGTATTGATATTCTGTAGTGGTGTACAAAAAAATAGCGCTGGTGTTGGATCGGTATTGGGGAATTCTTAGAATTTGGAATAATCTTATGTAATCTTACACTACAAAATAATAACTCAAAAAGATTAAAAGATAACCTCATAATTATTTAATGATTACTTTCAATTAATCACAATTATATAATGAAAGCCATAAAAACAGACAATTCATCGTGATAATCGGCATAATCATCATAATCGCCAAAGCCCTAAAACAGACAATTCATCGCAATAAACGTGACAATTAGACAATTAATCGTCAGCCAAATTTCATAATCGTGACAGCCCTACTACTGACAGACAGACAGACAGACAGACTACTGACAGATAGACAGACAGAAAGACAGACTACTGACAGACAGATAGAAAGACAGACAGACTACTGACTGACAGACAGACTACTGACTGACAGACAGACTGACAGACAGACAGACTACTGACAGACAGACAACTGACAGACTACCGAGAGAGACAGACAGAAAACTAACCCTAACAGACAAGACTACTGACAGACATACAGAGAGACTGATACAGACAGACTACTGACAGACAGACAGAAAACTAACAGAAAAGACAGACAGACTACTAACAGAGAGACTGACAGACAGACAGAAAACTAACAGACAGACAGACATACAACTAACAGACAGACAGATGGACTGACAAACAGACAGACTGACAGACAGACAGAAAACTAACAGAAAATACAGACAGACTACTGACAGAGACTGACAGACAGACAGACTACTAACAGAGAGACTGACAGACAGACAGAAAACTAACAGACAGACAGATGGACTGACAAACAGACAGACTGACAGACAGACTACTGACAGACAGATGGACAGACTGACAGAGAGACTGACAGACAGACTACTGACAGACAGATGGACAGACTGACACAGACAGACAGAGACAGACCACTGACAGATAGACAGACAGACAGACTACTGACAGACAGCTGGATCACCGTGTTTATCAGGACAGAATCTGATCTGGACCCAGCCGGAGGACTGCTGAGACGTGTTGGCCCACACACGCAGCAGATATAAGTCATTGTAATGCAGTTCAGCTCCAGTGAAATCACAGCGATGCTCCAAAACACTGACACACACCGATGTCCAGTACTTCTCATTACTGGCCTTCCGGGACCGAAACTCCCTGTTGGAGGAAAGGACGACGTGAGTGCACTTGATCTGTCAGTAAAGCAGTGCTTCCCGAGCCTGTTGCTGGAGCCCCAGTGCTGTCTCCATCATCGAACACAGTAAATATAACAAAGTATCCAAAAGTTACAGTATCCAACTGATTTATTCAATTCATGGGTTTAGGTATTATTTACACACAAAAGATGCAATGGATTGTTTTGATTCTGGACTCATTTCAATCACGAGAATTTGCTATATATAATGATGTACCATTTTCCACGATCGGAGCATGTTTCAAGAAATGACAAGCGTAAAAACTATGAGACAGTTATAACATGCGCCTTTGGGGTTTTACGTGTTATAACGGAGGAATATCTTTACATCTAAATGACAGATTTAGTAAGAGTGGGCTCATTTAAATCATTTTAATTTTAATTGAAAAGTTTCATGCCATTTTCCATGATCTATGCATGTTTCATGAAGTTACGAACAAAAGCGCAAAGTGAAATGTACAGTTGTTTCTTCTGCTGCGCCTCAAGTGTGCCCGTTGGGTTTTATGTGTTATAGCTATGAGCAATATCTTTGGATCTCATCAACAGATTATGACAGAAGAATATATAATCAGGAGAATTTTCTGAAAATAATACCATGCAATTTTCCACAACCTATGCATATATCATGAAGTTACGAATAAAAACGTAACGTGAAGCATAGAGTTGTTTTTCTTTGTTGCGCCTGTCTGGTTTAATGTGTTACAGCTCTATGAGGAATATCTTTCGATCTAATTGACGGATTATGGTATATTTTAGCTCTTTTTAATCAAGAGAATTTTCTGCAAATAATGTGATTTGTCATGATCTATGCATGTGTCATGAAGTTACGAGCTAAAATGCCTCAGGACTGCAACCTCAACCTAATTCTTTTTTATGTGTTATAGCTCTATGAGGAATATCTTTCAATCTAATCGACGGATTATGGTATACCTGGGCTCTTTTTAATTGGGAGAATTTTCTGCTAATAATGACATGCCATTTTTATGATATATGCATGTTTTAGGAAGTTATGAGCAAAATCGCCACATGACAGCTACCTTAGATATTTGCTAAGCTACATATGCCGCCTGTGCAGTTTTATAAATGTGTTATAAATTCATGAATAATATCTTTAGATATAAGTGACGGATTATACTGAGTTTGGGCTCTTTTTAATCGAGATAATCTTAATAATGGTATTTTTCCACGATCTGAGCATGTTTTATGAAGTTACAAACAATATGTTGACATCAATATATTATTTTCATATGGATCTGGGGGTGACTTGTAGGGATGGGCGATATCTTATTGTTTGCGATATACCGGTAAAAATTCTCCACACGATAAGAATTCGTCTTCCCACGATAATAACGATAAAGTCTAGTTGTTGACATATTTCTGTGTGCGACTGTGTGGAGTGACGTGAAGGAAGGCGGACGTGAAATTGAGCAGCTGCTACAATCTGGAGCAGGTTTGGACAGGGCTGTACAGTGCGACAAAAATCGGTCTGAGCCTTGAGTAAATGTACTACAGCAGCACGTGTGCGACACAGTTTTACATGTGTACGAGTCGTTTACAAACCTGGTGTCCAACAAAGATATTTTAATTTATTGACATGCTTTTTCTCCATATTAACTTCATAACATAGTTGAGTGTTTGAAATAACTTATTTTTGTGATCAGACATGGTTTCGCATCACAGAATAAGGCAGAAACCATACTATTTTATAGCATTGTACTACAGCAGCACGTGTGCGACACAGTTTTACATGTGTACGAGTCGTTTACAAACCTGGTGTCCAACAAAGATATTTTAATTTATTGACATGCTTTTTCTCCATATTAACTTCATAACATAGTTGAGTGTTTGAAATAACTTATTTTTGTGATCAGACATGGTTTCGCATCACAGAATAAGGCAGAAACCATACTATTTTATAGCATTATATACAGTGATAAAGGCTGTCGATTAGCATTACATTATAAATATACTTTATCCTTATAAAAAATACCCAAGATTGCTTGAAGAATACAGATACCATATATTTTGTGCAATCGCATATTTATTGTCTTCAGGTTTCCTGAGTTAAAATGTCTTTATCTGCGTTTTATTCAGCTACAGCGATCACTGGATACTTCTTCCTGGAGCATTACTAATACTATGCATAGGTGGAGTTTCTGCGCAAGGGCGCCCTCCGGCTTCCAGTATGAATTAAACAGTCATTACATTACCTGTGTACTCAGTAATGCTTACAACACCCTATTTTGGGTAAAAATAGGAAAGATAATACTTTTCTCTAAAGCAGTTGTCGCCAACCTGTGGATCGCAATCGACTGGTAGATCTTTATCACTGTCCCAGAAGATCCCGAAAAAAACTGTAAAATATGTACAAAAATGCATTACATTTATGGGTTATATTAATGTATCACTGAAGGGAACTGTCTTGAGAAAAGTTTAGATGGCAATGGCATTTCCTTCTCCGTATAAAGTACAACTTTACAGCGGTAACCATGGAAACGCTATAGTGCTGTCGGTTCATAAACAGTGTTGCCAAGTCCACGGTTTTCCCGCAGAATTGGGCTACTTTAACACTGTTGCCGCGGGTTGTTGTTGTTCATGTCCGCAGGTTGAAGCGACCCCAGTAATGTGATATTTAGTCCCTGGAATGTGAATTTTACTGAAAGATCCCTGCCGAAAAACGTGTATTTTACCCCCAGAATGGATGTTTACAGGGGAATCCCCTCGAAACGCGCTTGGACTAGTTTTATTGCGAAAACCTGGCAACCCTGTTCATAAGTGCCACCTGCTGTCAGAGAGAGCGTCTCATTCAGACCTGCTGTTGTTTCGTGCAGATGTTTTATGTAGCAAATAAATAACACCTAAAGTCAGACCATTCTGTTTTTGTTTTAAATCCTGAAATTAATCTAAATCAAATCAAAAACAACTGCCCGTGCAGATCGTGATTAAAATGCAGTGGTTGCCTCTAATTTCAAATGGCTAGATATTTTTGTTTAAAGCCAGTTTGTTTGTTATAAAGCAAATAGCCAATACATAAATTTGCTTAAAAATCAGTATCAGTATCAGAATCCAATTTGCTAGTTAAAAAAGAAAGAAAGAAAAGCAAATCTGAATTCTGAATCCGCTATGATCGGCGCATCACTAATTAAAATACTAAGTAAAAGGCCTCACATTTGAAGTACAATCTGGGATGTCTTCTTCAATAGGTAGATCTTGTCTTTCATAAAGGCCGAGGTCAGGGATCTTGGGCCTAAAAAGGTTGGTGACCGCTGCTCTAAAGAAACAGGATTCCCTAAATTATCGTCATTGATATCGTTATCGCAATAAATATCAGAAATTACTGTGATATATTTTATAGCCCATTTCGCCCATCCCTAGTGACTTGCTCAAAAATTCACTCAAGTTTAGTTAAAGCCCCAAACAATTATGCTTGTTTTATTCTACTTGAGTCCTTTCAATATGACACATGACTATCTGAGCTGGATTATGTTTTTGATATATTAGATATATTAGTAGTAATGTTTTCGCGGAGGGGGAGGGGGCATCCCGCCCGGGGTACACTCCGGTTTAGGGGGACTGCTCAGCGCTCGTTAAGAGTTGATCAAAATAATGAATTAAAAAGCTGAGATTCTAAGCTTTAAAATTATACCTATTTCATGTTATTCCATTCAGGGAGTGCTTAGTAATTTGATTATGTTTTTTTTTGTGTGTGGACACCTTGGGTTTAAAGGCTTAATAAAGCCTGAGCACATTTAAACACATTTCTCCCTCATTTCTTACAGCTGTAATGCAAAAATGATATCGATTACTATAATAATAATGCTCTTGGTAGTATTCGTTGTACTGTCTTTCATTTATGCTGATTTTCCTTCACTCATTTCTGCATTACAGTAACAGTGAGAATAAAAACAAAACATCTGGACAAAATGCTATAATCAGAAATTTGGAGGAAGACCTAATTTTCTTTATGCTAAATATAATTTAGCAGATATTTTCCTTAGTATTTTGAGATGAAAAATAAACCTGACCTTAAGAAGCATCTACACAGTTAGATGGACTGTTTTAACTATAATGTGTCACATATTAGAACGTGATCACATCCTTGGCCTAAATCTCCTCAAACGATCTATTACAGTGTTTGTGATGTCTTATGACCTGTTTCTTCACTTTATCAGCTGATTCAGTCACAAACCCAAATAAGCATGGACACACGGGTCACGTGCATGAAGCAATCACATATGAAGGCTCTTACTCTAGATACTGCGCAGTGAAGGTGACAGTCTGGTTGGCGGCGGTCTCATGAGGCCAGTCCCACCGCAGCACATAACGGGTGTTGAGCGAGTCGACGCTGACGTTCTCAGGACGCCTCAGATCTCTGAATCCTGCCAGACACACACACACACACACACACACAAAGTTTCTGTTTCTGCAGGTTTGAGCATTGTAACTGTATTCTGCTCCACAGCTCTCCAGACACGTCTTCATAACCAGCAGTGGTCAGACAATGTGCAGGGCTGACAGCTTCACTGATGTAATCACACAGTCCTAAACCTGATTACACTTTCACTTATGATCTCATGGATGTCACTTAGTGTGAAATACTGCATGCATTCAAGAAAAGACAGATAAGTTTAAAACAAGAGCAACGGAGTGCATTCGTAAATGTAACAAAAGCACATTTACAGTTACAGATTCTTACATTTGTCACACAGATTCCTTAAATGCATAACTGCAGTGTTTTAATCTCTGTAATATGCCAGTCTACATGACGTGATTAAAGCTTGCAGGATCATTTTTATTTTTATGTTGACTGTTTAACCACAGTAGCTGTCTGTGTGTCGTGCCACAACACATTCTGGTTTTAGCTCAGCATCTCAGCTCAGGAAGATCGGACAGCTCCCTGAAACAAACACCCATCTCTAGAGCACATCTGAAGACACATGTTCATATAGAAACATCTTGTTCCTTAGACGGAGGCTGTAAAGATCCAGACCGCTCAGGGTTTCGAGTCTCAGAAGTGATGCTACTTTAGGGAGGATCAAGAGAAGTCTTGAGCACAGCTGAGAAACTCTTTCAGTTCCTCTGATGGTCTAAGCTTGGTTATTTTCACAGCAATATTACAGATGTTCAATATTATTGTAAGAATATGTGTCGGTATTATGAAACATGTTCATCAACAATAACACTGAGTGATAATATTTCAGTGATTTATGTCATTTTGAAAAATATTGGGCCTCAAGCAGAAGGAATATTTGTGTAAATAGTTTATAAAGCCGGTCTGACGTAAATTTTCGAATTCATGAAAATGTTCGTATTTTCAAAATGTTGGTTGGTAAGAAAGAAATGTACACGGCTCCCTGCCACGTGTAAATGGTGTGTAAAACATTCTGTTCTTTTTGTCAAACTGATGACACTGGATTTTGATGCACTACCATAATAATATTTCACATGTTTGTTTGCATTGTCTTTTTTTTTTGTAACTGTACAACTGTCAGTTATTATACTACACCAACCAACCATCCTACTTGTACAACGACCGAACGACAATAGAAGTTAATTTGGCTGGTTACTTAATTTTTATATTCAGTAATATTCTTTAAAATGAGATACTATTAATACGTTACTGTCATGGATCATAGCATCTCAAAGCATCTCAGCTGGGAAAACGCTGTGCCACCAAAGCGTTCTCCAGCGCCACCAGCTGGTCGTTTTCAGAAGAGCACCTGGCATTTTTTTAGCTGGCTAAAAACTCTTTGGTGGACACATGTTATTGAATATTTATTGTTAGGTGTATCGCATATTAGTCTTTATTGCATTTATGCAATATACTGGAGCCAAACCTGAGGAAGTAGACCAGAATATTCCACTGCGTTCCTGGACACGTAATTTATGTAGTTATAATTCATAGGTGGGATTATGCAAATTCTGAATGAGTGTTCACACGCCCTATTTACAACGATTGGAACGTCTTCAGATACGTTTTGATGGCATTTTTATTTCATCTTAACTGTAAGCACAGGCCTGCTTTGACTACAGAGGTTACCGGGGAAATCACTATATTCTGTCATTCCAGCAGCGCCACCTGCTGGCAGAGAATGAATGTGCATTTTCAATTAGCCAGTTTGTTGACAGTATTTTCTGATTCATGGAGTGATAAAAAGACAAATCTGAAATCCCCGCCTACAGACCAGTGTAAAAATCAACCTATACCTTTACACAGCAAACACACAGAATTGTAAATTTGAAAGTTACTGTGCTTTCTAAAAGGCCAAACAATTAAGACAGTAAGTTACTTTGTTTTATAGCTAAACTATAGCTACTTTTGCTATATTTTCACACTAAAAAAAACAAACAAAACAATGATTTGGTATTCCTCTTATATCATTGTCCTCCGGGTGTGTGTTCACTGCTGTGTGTGTGCACTTTGGATGGATAAATGCAGAGCACTAATTCCGAGTATGGGTCACCATACTTGGCCACATGTCACGTCACTCTTTTATGCTAAGAAATAAATCTCCCGGCAGTTCTCTCTCAAGTGGTTTCATTGTTGTCAGCATTAAGTCCGAGTATGAATCAGTGGGCTTTATAACACTTTTAATTGCCAAGAAATGACTTCTCTTTAACAGTTTTGGTTCAACATACTTAAAGCACGGAGCGTTACGTCCTCCCCTGACGTCTGAACGTCAGACTGAAAGATGTGATTATTTACAGCGAATCTCGGTGATTCGAAATGATTGGTTTCGCTCTTTTTGAGTGGAAATTCCTCAAACTGGAAGCGCCTCCCATAATCTAAAAAGCAGCAGACACATTTGGATAAAGGTGGATATAGAACATAGGCTACTTGTTTTATAGTCGCGAAGTTAAAATGCCCCTATTATGGGTAATGAAAGGTTCATATTTTGGTATTGGGAGTCCCCAACAACAGGTTGACATGCATGCAAGGTCAAAAAAACACTTTCCTTGTCTTATAAGATGCATTTATTTTGACCTTACTTGCTCAACGTCTCCCAAACGAATTCGCTCAACGATTCATTTTTCCAAACCCCTCCTTTGCCTGACGCTAATCTGCGGTGATTGGTCCGATTGATCTCATTTTAATGTCATCACGCCTGTAAAGCCTGATAAAGCAGTGTTTGTGAGCGCAGTGCTGCTTTGTGTTCAGCGTTACAGGGGAAACAGATATTTGTACGCCCCAAAAGCGCACCTAGTGGCAAAGAATGAATTTGCATTTTCATTCAGACCAACGGGAAAAGACCAACATGTGGGAGGGCGATGTGCTAATGTTTCATGTTAACTTCAACATGAAAAGGCTTGGGATTTGTTTTCAAAATGACTAATGTTAGTTTCAATGATTCAGAGTCGACTCTTTCTTTTGAGAGACAATACATTTATACAGGGTGCACTTTCAGATTTAAAACTTTGCAGGATGTTTCCATTCACTTAGAGCTGTGTTACACACTGCAGGAAAGCTCATTTTCAAAAATCCATAATAGGGGCACTTTAAACCCACTGAAAGAGTAAAAGCTTTCTGTGACAGATGAGAAGGACAGATGAACCCCCAAACGACGATTAGATTATAAACGAAGCGCGCGAGGCAGTGAGTACAGCGGCACACGCGGCGGTGTGAGAGGATCAGGAGGAACTCACCCGAGGACTCTTCCAGCAGAAGCAGAGCACACACGCTGAAGCAGAAGCAGCGAAGCGCCTTCATCTCCGCATTGCGCTGCTGCTCGCTCCGTCCACAACACAGGAAGCACGGCTTTATGGCGTTATTTTAATGACTGATGTCTAGAGCGCATTATTGTAGCGCGAAACCACATTGATATAATGCGCAGGTGCGAATGTCTCCGCTCGCTCGCGTATTTCCTTTGCTTTGCTCTCGCACAAAACCGGACGCGCGAGCTCAGATACACTCTCGCAACACCAAAGCAAGCCCATGCATGCATAGTTTTGGGGGATTTATGGTCTGACATACACAGTTGTGTTCGCAAATATTGTATTACTATTAAGTAATCATCTATAAATGAAAAATAAAATAACAACATTTCAAAATCCATCATGGCAGCAAGTCTATACACAATTAAAAAAACTCCAACAGGTTATAAATGTTTCTGAGCTTGTATGACTAAAGAAGACCTGCGGTTCTATTACAGTTACACGGGCTACTTAGATGGTATAATCACGTTTAGTGCAAGTTTAAGAGCAACACAAACTTTAGAATTTCCTAACATTAGAAAGAAATACAATAATTTCAAAGCACTGAAACTGGATCAGTTTTGAAAACAATGTTTGATTTTCTGTTATGAACAGAGGTGGGGATGTCTGTAATCACGCAGAACAAACTCTAGCAACACCCCAGCAACTGCAGAGCAAGAGCCTAGCAACCACCCAGAATATCCTAGCAACCAACTAGCAACACTTCAGCAAACATCTAGAACATCCGTCACTCTTTTATGCTAAGAAATAAATCTCCCGGCAGTTCTCTCTCAAGTGGTTTCATTGTTGTCAGCATTAAGTCCGAGTATGAATCAGTGGGCTTTATAACACTTTTAATTGCCAAGAAATGACTTCTCTTTAACAGTTTTGGTTCAACATACTTAAAGCACGGAGCGTTACGTCCTCCCCTGACGTCTGAACGTCAGACTGAAAGATGTGATTATTTACAGCGAATCTCGGTGATTCGAAATGATTGGTTTCGCTCTTTTTGAGTGGAAATTCCTCAAACTGGAAGCGCCTCCCATAATCTAAAAAGCAGCAGACACATTTGGATAAAGGTGGATATAGAACATAGGCTACTTGTTTTATAGTCGCGAAGTTAAAATGCCCCTATTATGGGTAATGAAAGGTTCATATTTTGGTATTGGGAGTCCCCAACAACAGGTTGACATGCATGCAAGGTCAAAAAAACACTTTCCTTGTCTTATAAGATGCATTTATTTTGACCTTACTTGCTCAACGTCTCCCAAACGAATTCGCTCAACGATTCATTTTTCCAAACCCCTCCTTTGCCTGACGCTAATCTGCGGTGATTGGTCCGATTGATCTCATTTTAATGTCATCACGCCTGTAAAGCCTGATAAAGCAGTGTTTGTGAGCGCAGTGCTGCTTTGTGTTCAGCGTTACAGGGGAAACAGATATTTTTACGCTCCAAAAGCGCACCTAGTGGCAAAGAATGAATTTGCATTTTCATTCAGACCAACGGGAAAAGACCAACATGTGGGAGGGCGATGTGCTAATGTTTCATATTAACTTCAACATGAAAAGGCTTGGGATTTGTTTTCAAAATGACTAATGTTAGTTTCAATGATTCAGAGTCGACTCTTTCTTTTGAGAGACAATACATTTATACAGGGTGCACTTTCAGATTTAAAACTTTGCAGGATGTTTCCATTCACTTAGAGCTGTGTTACACACTGCAGGAAAGCTCATTTTCAAAAATCCATAATAGGGGCACTTTAAACCCACTGAAAGAGTAAAAGCTTTCTGTGACAGATGAGAAGGACAGATGAACCCCCAAACGACGATTAGATTATAAACGAAGCGCGCGAGGCAGTGAGTACAGCGGCACACGCGGCGGTGTGAGAGGATCAGGAGGAACTCACCCGAGGACTCTTCCAGCAGAAGCAGAGCACACACGCTGAAGCAGAAGCAGCGAAGCGCCTTCATCTCCGCATTGCGCTGCTGCTCGCTCCGTCCACAACACAGGAAGCACGGCTTTATGGCGTTATTTTAATGACTGATGTCTAGAGCGCATTATTGTAGCGCGAAACCACATTGATATAATGCGCAGGTGCGAATGTCTCCGCTCGCTCGCGTATTTCCTTTGCTTTGCTCTCGCACAAAACCGGACGCGCGAGCTCAGATACACTCTCGCAACACCAAAGCAAGCCCATGCATGCATAGTTTTGGGGGATTTATGGTCTGACATACACAGTTGTGTTCGCAAATATTGTATTACTATTAAGTAATCATCTATAAATGAAAAATAAAATAACAACATTTCAAAATCCATCATGGCAGCAAGTCTATACACAATTAAAAAAACTCCAACAGGTTATAAATGTTTCTGAGCTTGTATGACTAAAGAAGACCTGCGGTTCTATTACAGTTACACGGGCTACTTAGATGGTATAATCACGTTTAGTGCAAGTTTAAGAGCAACACAAACTTTAGAATTTCCTAACATTAGAAAGAAATACAATAATTTCAAAGCACTGAAACTGGATCAGTTTTGAAAACAATGTTTGATTTTCTGTTATGAGCAGAGGTGGGGATGTCTGTAATCACGCAGAACAAACTCTAGCAACACCCCAGCAACTGCAGAGCAAGAGCCTAGCAACCACCCAGAATATCCTAGCAACCAACTAGCAACACTTCAGCAAACATCTAGAACATCTAACCGACCAAACCATTTACGATTTTAAACAAGACTTTAAGACAAGCCAGCATACATTTGTCTTTCACACTTTTCAATCTAGTTATTACAGTTTTTCTTACAGGGTTTTTCAGCTGCTCACACACATTTTCAAAACTTTGCCTCATTTTTTCAAAACTTTACACACAAATACAAGAACTGCGCACACAAAATGCAAAAGGCCTCACATCTCTCGCAAAATGAAGCACTGCATTCAAAATATCTCAAAAGCAAACTTTTTCAAACACCTTTGCAATAATATTAATTCCTGTTAGTTTTGTGTGTTACAGAGAATTGTGTTGTGTTTTGAAAAAGTGTTTTATGAAACTGAAAACTGAGTCAATTTGGTGTGTGCTTCTGCTGTTTGAGTCAGCTTTCAGAAACTGTGTGTCACGTAAAGATTGTGTGTGTAAGCAGCTGAGAAAGACTGTAAATGCTTACAATTCAAACACACTGATGACTTTCCTGCAGTGAACACAGATCAATAACACTGTAACAAAAACTCTTATAGGATTCAGGAATTATTTTTGCAGCTCAATGTCTATTACAGTACACATAAACTTAATTACAGATACAGATGCATAATTCAGCAATGAATACACTATACAAAAGCACATTTACAGTTACAGATAGTACTATAGTACACAGCACTATAGCAGTTTCTTGGTCTGCTGACACAAGACTATATCTCCAGCCAGTCATTCTCAGTTCTGCAAAAATGCAGTACATATTAAAAATGATTACAAATCAAATTTGACAGTCACACGCTCGAAGGTGTACAACATGTGCTACAGTTTACTGTACATATAGATTAGTGAAATGTCCCTGATCTAATGCACTGGTACTGTACTGTACTGATACTGTATGTATAAGTATAAACCCCTGTAGATGACTGGCTCAGCTCCAGCTCTCTCTGTTGTTAGCATGCACAGATTCTGATTGGTGTGTCATCAGTTTTTAGGCTACTCATTGTTAAACTTTTTGAGAAATGTGTCTTTGTTTTGAAAACTGAATTAAAGGTGTTTTTTTGGGGTGGGGAGGGGCAACTAAAATCAGTTATATTAACAATCGAGAAAACTGCAATATGACTAGATTCTTACCCAACTCTGCTATTAGTTTCTGTGATTGGCATCTTCTTATTGATCTCATGTTATTGTCACGGCTTATATTCATGATGAAAGTGGAGCGAGCGGTCAGAGAATCGGATCACCAAACAATTGCGCGATGAATCTCAGACATATCCGGACGGGATTAGATTTCTCAGAGGACTTCTGAGTTAGCTGAAAAGCAGTAATGATCTGATTCATGAACAAATGTAAAAACAATTCGTTAGTGAACTGGGCTTTGTGGTTTTGAAAAAAGTGAAAGTGAAAGTGACGTGGCCAAGTATGGTGACCCACACTCAGAATTAGTGCTCTGCATTTATCCATCCAAAGTGCACACACAGAGCAGTGAATGCACACACACACCGTGAACACACACCCGGAGCAGTGGGCAGCCATCTATGCTGCAGTGCCCGGGGAGCAGTTGGGGGTTCGGTGCCTTGCTCAAGGGCCCCTCAGTCGTGGTATTGAAGGTGGAAGAGTGTGCTGTACATTCACTCCCCCCACCTACAATCCCTGCCGGTACGAGACTCAAACCCACAACCTTTGAGTTATGAGTCCGACGCTCTAACCATTAGGTTAGGTTATGACTCATTCATAAGAGTCATTTGTTAATGAAGTCGACTACACTGGCACGTTGCGTGCGTGTGCAACCATCGTGCACAGACAGTTTATTAAAAGACGTGTTTTTGGCATTATTCTGCTTTACGCTGTCGGCTGAAAAGTAGCACATGAAACACTGTTTACATTTATATTTTATTCTGTAATAATTCTGGGGTGGCAGGTGGGGTAGATCCGCCCCTGATCCTGTGCTCTCGCAAATCTCTCTATGCTCATGCAGATATTCATTCTTTTCACACCTGAATTAAATGTTGTCAAAAGTTATTATGCTCTTTTAAAAAGTAGTCTCAAAACAGATTTGTTCAGGGCCTTTCCTTGATTTTTTTTATTGTTGTATTTAAACTATATATAAACTGGTTATTGTACTTTGTTTTACTATAGGCCCACTTTATCTCTTTTATGTTTGTTCTTTTCTGTGAATGCACATATGCATCTCTCTGTAAAGTACATTTTAAAGACTGTTGAAAGGTGCTATATAAATACAGCTTTAACCAATCAGACCAAATGCTGAAATCTAATTGGCTGGGAGGGAAGTGAACCCGGAATTATTTTGACAATCAAAGAAGGATCTTTTATTTCTTTCCAGTTTAATAATATTTCGCAATGTTAATGAAATGTAGCCTATATTAGAAATGGCTAGGAATTAGTTGCTTGGATGATTTGTGCATATAACCTCTGTCCTGGTTGGTCTCTGAGCAATTTATCAGTAACAACATATATTTATAAAAACAACATATTATAGTCTATGGCTCTAAAGACTTCATATAAAACATCAATGTTATGTCATGATGTCAGATACCTCAACTGAATTTAAAATCATTGCAATAAATTCTCAGTTGGTATGATGACAATAATAAGTAACAATTCCTATCAAATCAACATCAACTGCAAAAATAGATGTAAATGATGCAAGATATGTTCACAATAAATGTTCTGATAGCATCGCTGTTTGGACATTTATTGGGAGTTTTTTGTTTTTTAATCCAGTGTTTGTTTTCAGTTGTGATTTTAATTCGATTTTTTTTCATGAAAACCCACTTATTAGCTACACGTTCAATGGCACTCTCCTCTAATACAGTGAATATACAGTTATATGACAGTTACATAGAATATAATATAGTAGGACACAGTTTGAGCGAGAGGAGAGACTGTTTTAAGTGTGCGCACTCTCTCTGGGCGAGAGCAGTGTATCTGGTTTTGAGTGAGAGCAAAGGAAATCCGCGTGCGAGCAGAGATATTCACGCCTGCGCATTATATATTTATGTGCTTTCGCGCTCTCGACATTAGTCATAGGAGCTTGAGTCATGCGGAAGTGATGTTCGATGGCTCAGCTGTTTCGAAACTACAGGGTGTCTTCTCACACAATAAACAGAATAAAGCAGGGAGTGTTCCTCTGACACAGGTGACCACAGCTGCTCGCATATCAGCAGCAGTATGGAAGGCCGTTAGGGACAAAACATATGGTACTATGGAAGGCCGTAATATTAAATGTCTTTACACGTGGCGTGTACAGACGATATAATGTGTGTAAACATTATTGCATCTACACGCATTATTTTGTGTACAGACCTTACCGATATATAGTTAGTTCAACGTTTGACATTTGTCAGAGGTTCAGCCTCGAAGGGGTGTCTGGTTTATAAAAGAACATTTATATGTTGGTTTTATTCACAGAAGTATAGCACAACAAAGTTATTGAAATGGAACAATTGAGAAAAAGCTTGCAAAGCATTACGAAGATTGTGCAGATTACCGCCCCCTAGAGGAAGATATTGCACTTATTTTGAGCAAGTTTGACATTCAGAATTTTAAAGAGGTCATATGATGTTGCTAAAAAGAACATTATTTTGGTGTATTTTGGTGTAATGAAATGTGTTTATGCGGTTTAAGGTTCAACACATTATTTTCCACATACTGTACATTATTGTTGCTCGTCTATGCCCCGCCTTTCTGAAACACGTCGATTTTTACAAAGCTCATCGGTCTGAAAAGTGAGGTGTGCTGTGATTGGCCAGCTATCCTTCAGGGAGTGATTGGCTGAATACCTCAGGTGTGCGACGGAAATGTTACTCCCCTTACCATACTGTGATGATGCCGTGTCCGGCCGGAGCGACGAGACAAAACCAATTGAAAACCCATTATAAACGAGGCATTTGTTGCATCCAGTGGGGACATAATTACTGATTATAATGACTTCTACTGTCTTTTTACGCATTGCATTGCATCGCGCCGTGTAAACATAAACACACATCTGAATATTTGGGTTGAAGTGTTCTGGAACAGTGTTGTAAATACAACTTAACCACTGATTTCTAGTTGTGTCCTCTTTTGGAAGACCAAACAAAGTATTTTCGCTTTCACAACGAAACACACAGCGTCTTTACGACATGACGGCGGCAGCAACAATAAGTTTTAGGAGGGCATGGACCAGTATTAATTTTTATAAAGTATATCTCTTTGGGTTTGAGACTTTAGTCTTTGCAACTTTAGGATCTTATCTATTCACGAACAGCTTGTAACACTCCAAAGAGAAAGGAAAACGTCTCGGTTACATATGGTAACCCTCGTTCCCTGAAGGAGGGAACAGAGACGTCACGTCGGATGACCGACGAATTGGGATCTTGCTTAGAGAGACCAATCTACTTCGAGTGTAAACTAAATGAGCCAATGCACATTGGCAT